AGGGAGGGGCGGGCGCTATGTTGGGAAGGTCTCAATGACACAATGTGGCACCTTCGTCCTTCCAACAAGCCCATGCACAGTCTGAAGCAGTGCATGGAGGACAGGAGCCTGCTGTGGCCTTCGGGGAGGGCGGGCCCTGAGCCTTGCGGGGTGCTCGATGCCCTGCCGCATGACTGAGGTCTCCCCACCCCAAGGAGAGCTCGTGGGGCTGGAAGGGACCTCCATGTTGCCCCTGCCCTTGATTGCTACCCCTGGCCCGGTGGGCACCAGGCTGACCAGGGGGCACCGCTCCTTCCTGCCCCCGAATCTGACATCGGCCTGGCCCCGAGCGGAGGGGCAAGACCGGCGCCCACAGGCTTTGGCCCCGGCGGCATCGCTGGCGCAGCCCAGGCAAAGTCCCAGGAGGCTTAAAAACATCTTGAGGCACGTAGGAGGAAGAGGGGGAAGCAGCAATAGCAAAGCCCAAAAGCCTGGGAAACCCCCGTAGTAGACCAGAGGCATCCTCACACCTCGAGCCCAACCGCCCGGCTCCTGCTTCCCGACACCGCCAGGGCTGGGGAGCTGCTGCGACTGAAACCTAATTAGAAAGATAACTAGAGGACATAAAGGCGTTAGGTTTCGTATCAACAGAGGACGGGGTAGCAGAAAACCAACATGTGCTCTCTCATGGCCACCCTACTTTTCACCGCTTATACGACTGCAAGCGTTGCTGCTCTGGGCGTCTGCGCGTGTAAAAATGCCCGATGGCAACTGAACCTGCCTTCCGCCTACCCCCCCAGCACAACTCCTGGATTTGACGGTGTCTCTCGGCCGAACCGTGATGAGCCGCAACTGCCTGCTGCCGCCTAGAAAAGGGACAAATCAGGGCCGACTACTGTGGTTTAATTGCGGAATTTAATTAAAGATAATGACAGGGTGACGAATGCACACATGTAGTGACTGTGTAACGGGGGTTAGGATGGGCCTATAATGTTAGGGTCTGGGGCCCTTATAGTTTTGGAGCATAATATAATGTGAAGGAGGTCTGAGAGCACGGGGGACATGCCTTTCTGGCTGGGCCAGGGTACCTTTATTAGTAGTACTAATAGTATCCATAGTAGTAGTAGGAGTAATACTAGTAATAATTACTATTACTAGTAATAATAATTGTAACAATAATAATACTTAACAACCACCACAGCAACAGTAGTGGTAGTAGTAGTAGTACCACCATGTGTGAAGGAGCCCTTTCTGGGCTTGCCACTTGCCGGCCACTTCTCATCTTGGGGCCACGCTTGCTATCAGTGCTGAGCAGGAACAAACCTGGCAGGTTCATCAGGATGCCCCTGACATTACCACCTCCCAGCCGTTTCCCGGCTGTGTAAGCTGGATGCGATCATGAGACAAAAGCTGCCTGCCTCAAACAGAACCCGATGAACTAAAACGGTGCCTGAACGCACCCCTCGGGCAGCACTCCTCGTGGGTGCCGCCACCACCGAAATCATCTCAGGGGCCTCAACATGGCGTGGCCAAGATGTTCGCTCCTGACAGCCTTCTGTGGTTGGTCCCACCGGCAGGCAATTGCTCCTCTTCCCTTCATTTATGCAGTTTAGCTTCCCTTTCAAGATGAGAGAAGACTTTTGAAGTGTGAGACATTTCAGCTGGGTCTTGGCAGGGGCTGCTGTGGAGGGCAGAAGACAGCAACCTTTCAGAGTGGAGTCATCTGATTTGAAGTTGCATCTTGTACAATTTCAGCAAGTGATGGTGCCTTTGATTTTAATTAATGCTTTGACTAAGAGGAAAAGTTGGTCTGGCTGCTTCTATCTCGCCATGCCCTCCTTTCACACTCACTTTGCTCTCAGTCTTTGTTCTAATTTAGGCTATCAGATCAAGCTATTCTAGGTCTTCCTGATTTATTAAAGAAGGCGGCTGCCAAATGCCCTGAGATTTGTTAATCCAGTTAGCAACAACAAATGCATGCTTAGCAGAGGCCAGAGGGCCCATTGAAAAAGCCTGCTGTGCTCTGATGAAGAATGTGGAAATACTAAGCTTGGTTTTCTATTCACTCACTGAAAAATGCAACTGACAGCTAATAATTTGAAGCAGTCTTATGTAAATGTGGCATTAGACTATCTCCCTAGTCCTCCTCAGGCCCTGTTCCTGTAGGCTTACACATTCCAGGTGGCTTGGATAAAGCTATGCCCAAGCCTGTGGACTTTAAGCCCATGCAAGCACCCACACTGATGCAAATGCCATATTTTCTGTGTGCTCCTATCACTGGTTTTGCCTTTCTCTGGGATTAGGTCATCCAGGTGCTTGGAGCAGATGTAAAGCACAGCAAAACCTGCAAGTGCTTGTCTACTCAGCATCCCCTGCATTTCAGGCTCGGTGTGACCCACCCAACCGCTCACACACCAAGCGGGGAGGTGTGCCAGCGAAGTGCCCACCCGTAGTCACTGTGACACCTGGTTGCTCAAGGGTACCTGGTCGGGCTCCCCCAGCAAGGCCTCCCAGCGCATTTCTGTGTGGAAGAGCTCTCCTGCAGCTTAGCCAGCAAGCCCTCATCCATGAGAGGCGAGTTCTCAGCTCCCCTCTTTCCTCGCTGTAGTAATGCAGTTTGCCATCCTGGAAACTGCACAAGCCATGACCAACAAGAATTATTCGAGCTGATGGCGGGCAATTGAACGCTGACAACAAGAGGAAAAAGGGGAAAGAAAGGAACCGACACGCCTAAGCAGCCGCCCAGTATGCCACGCATACGGATAGGGCTGCAGCCTTGCTCTCTGCTTTGATTCATTATTGAGGTGCCCATCAGAGGCAGACAGCTTGGAAGGGGAGCGTGATTGTTTCAGTGTACAGCATGAACCAGAAGGCAGTGACTGGTTAAAGGAACCCTGTCAGGCCTAGAAAGAGCCCTTGCCATGAGAAGTGGGGGACCAGCTATGGGAAGCAACCCCTTCCCACTGCTTGCGACTGCTCCCTGTGGTTTGGGAGAAGTAGAGATGACAGCTTGTTCCCTTAGTCTCTCTCACTCCACTTTCCTGTGCAGCACTAGCAGCGAGGGAGCTGGACTTGTGCATTGTCTGCCATGGGCTATTTGTGTCCCCCTGTGCCACCCCACTGAAGCCAGAAGAAATCTGCCCAGGCAAGATCTTGAGTGCGAGGCCATACAGCCAATGGCCATGAGCCATGTAAAGATTGCATGGAGGGTTAGCTGTCTGTTTGGCACCCAGCTCCCTGGCTTGAGTTCTGCGCTCTGGGCCTGGAGAAAAGCAGGCTAAGGGGGTCAGAGGAAGACATGCATCCCCCTATGTCCCCCCAGTAGCCATGTGGCAAATGCACCAGTAGTAACCAGCTAGAGGCTCTTGTGAATTATCCTGGGAAACCTCCTCCACACAAGGCTGGCAGGGGAAGAGCCAGCTGGAGAAACCCCATTGGCGCAGTCTCACAGACAGACCTGAGTAGGAGATGCAGGGGCAAGAGCAAGTACAGAGATGCTAGCCCCTATGCAAACACCCCTGTGCCTGGCATAGACTTTGGGTATCTGCATGATGGACGAACAGAGCCCCTTTGTGTTCCTCCAACTTCCTGCATGCCATGGGAACCTCTCTGATTATACCTTGGGTGAGATATAGGATTTGGCCCATCAAGAATAGCAGGTCAAGCTCTGATCTCACTTATGCCAGGGTCAATTTTGGGGTAACTTCACTGGTGCCAAGTCCTCAGCTGGTGTCAACTGGCTTGGCCCTCCTGAAAGTCAACTTATACCTGCAGAGCATCTGTACCAGCGAGGTTTTGCTCTGCTCCCCTTTCAGCCCAGCTAAATATATTACTTGCATTATCTCCCCACTCTCAGATTCACTTACCAGTGGTTTTATAGCACAACCTGCCCTTCAGCAATAATCCTTGTGAACTTCCAGCTACGTTAAGCTGATCAGCATGTGCAGCAGAAATATGTTTGTGAATCATATGTTAAAGCTAGAAAACCACTCCTGACTCCATGTTCCATTATACGCTGGGAGATTTCTCTTCTCCTAAGGGAGAGAGTGCCTTTCAACATACACGGCACAGAGGAGTGAGACTGGCATGTCGCTATTCTGGCACAAATACTGCAGCTATTTAAATGATCCACAGTGACAGCAACATTTATGTTCAGTGGGGAGAATAAAATTGAATTGGAATGGGATACATGCACACACATATCGTTCGTCTCATTACTGCATGCCTTACAGATGTTGCATCTCACGGCACCCAGAGAGGGACAAGTCCTTAAATAAGCAAAAGGCACGTCAACCTGTAGCCATTACAGTGAAATTAGCATCAGTTTTGCTTGCAAGGCACAGATAAGCAGGGAGACCTGGATTGTTTTATGTGCAGTATGTATTCAATTCATGGGTAGAGTGCCCCCATCAACAGCTCAACATCTAACGCCTGGTACTTTTTGTGTTTGCAGGGACTATCACGATACCTGGTGGCAAGGACTACTGTGATATACCACCTGGCAGAAAGGACTCAAGCAATCAAAGGAGAGAATTTCAGGTTAGGTGCTGTTCCTGGCTGTGGGAGCGAGTGCCCTCTAGTGATCACAAAAAGGAGCCATGAAGCAGGATGCTGGGGTTCCCTTCCCACCTCTGAGGCTATGTCCTCTTGCGGGTAGGTGGGTATAGGGTGTAGGGATTGTATTACCACTCTTGCTATTTCACTTTCAGCAAGTCATTCTACCTCCCTGTGCCTCAACTTCCCCACCTGTACAGGAGGATGACTAAAATGTAGAGTGGGTGTGTGAAGCCTAATTACTCAGTGTTTGCAAAATGCTTTGAACTCCTTGGAAAAAAAGGTGGTTTTCTATGTAACGGCAATCCATTAAGAGGTAATGTTGTTTTGCTGCTTTCATGCGCTTTGCGCTCACCATCTGCCTAATAAACTTATTTAAAAGAGCCAAATCATTCATTTAATTAAACTGCACATTTTATTAGCTCACATCAGATTGTTTCGAAACCCTTGACAGATTCAGTTTACATGTGTGTAGGCTTTTAGGTTAGCAAGCGGCACCGCCTTACGCTTCTGATTCAGTTAGCTATAAAGAGAGGAGAGAACAAACATAATTAATTCACGTCTTTATGGGCTTTCCATACAATTGCCAGTCCTTCATATACAATTCCCAGTTCTGTATAAGCCTTGTTGTATACAGTTCCCAGTCCTCTGAATAGTTTCCCATTTTTTACAAGCCTTGTATACAATCCCCACTTCTTTATGTCAAAATCCCTGTTCTTTATAAGCCTCATATACAATTCCCATCCTCCTCAACTTCCACACTTCAAAAATGAAAAATAACCCCTGACACCCACTTAGTCAGACTGAAATAAGAGTCCCACAGAATGGATGTTGCTAGAGTCATTTCAGCCTGACCTGGACAAAGCCCCAGAGAATTCTCTGTAGATAGCAATCCCTGTAGATAACAATCCCCCCCAAGGGTGTTGACATAAATCAACTCAATAACTTAAACAGAGTTTTCCATCTCCATTTTTTGCATACGAAGCTTTAGATTATCAGAAGAGCTCGGGGACAGATTTACTGTCTAAGCAGGGACAGATTTTCAGAGTTTGTCTCCTTTTTAGGTTCCAAAAGTGCTAGCTTTTCAAAGGACCTCATTATATTCATTTCAGGGGTAGTGTATGTGGTGTAAGCACAGTAGGTTTCATTGTAGCATGCCCTGTCTTGGTCTGGAAGCAGTAGCAAACATGACCAGTCACAAACTCCACCGAAGTTTTTCTTTGCTCTGGGGCTGGGGGAACATGTGCAAGCTCATGCGTGAGCATGTGGCACAACTGTGCTGACTGGTGCATTGTGGAGGAGAACCAGGTTCCATCCTTCTGCACCCACATGCAGTGGCGGTACGTCACAGCTACACGGAGGTTGTTGCCCCGTCCGTACTCCTGTCCATGAGACAAGTAGGAAGCTCAATGCCAGGTGTATTATACCTTACACTCACTTTTACATCCCTTGAGGACATGCAGGATGGTCCCTAACAGGCAGGAGAGAAGCAGGCCCCAGAGATGCTCAGCACAAGCCTGGCACCCCCTGAGCTAAGTGAGCAGTTTTGTTCTTCAAGTTGACTCGGCAGGCAAAGGCAACTCTTTGATTTTGCTTTTCTGGCGACACACTTTCAAATGACTGGAACAAGGCATTTGCCACATCTCTTGTGGCAGGGAGGGCAGAGGTGGGATGGGACGTGAATGTAGGAAGCCATGTGAAGTATTTACAGTAGCAGCTCAACAGCAGTGCTAAGGAATGGACAGGGAATGAGGAGACGGCTTGATGTTCTTATGTGTCAAGTATACGCACGGGGTGAGGGCAAATAAGGACTGTCTGAAGGGAACAAACATGACACAAAAGCCATTCCTGGAATATAAATATCACCAGGGCACTGAGCTGGGAAGGAAAGGGAGAGACCGGAATCAGGCTCCTTACAGTACCGTTTTCAGTGTCCAGTAACATCTCAGTTAGCAGTTTCTCCAGGACACCTTGGTATTTTTCCAGCTGCCTAGAGTTGAGCTGCATTCTGATTTCCACAGGAGCGGTCAGCTGTGAAGGAAAGCAGAATTAGCCAAAAGAAAGGAAAATGAACAAGGTGGTGGTAGATAGACATGGTTAACAATGCTCACAGGACCAGGGGTCTTCTGCGCAGGGTTAGACATTGCCACATACCACATTTCCCCCACCCACCTGAAACCCAGCCACCGACATCCATTTCACAAGAGCAGGAGGCAGTTCTGTTGCATGGGTTTGGGCTGGGCTGACATAATTGCCCTCCAAATAAGAGACTGAGGCTTGATCCTGCTTTGTTCAAGTCAGGGGAACAGGGTAGGATGGAGGAACTGAACCCTTTGTTAGAGTGGCTATGAATGAGGACTGAGTCTCAAGAGCGCTTTACCCAGGCCTGGGTTATTAGATGTCTTTGGGCATCAAGCCTTTGGTTCACCCAGAAGTTGGTTTGGAAAGTAGGCTGGGTCCTCTCCCCTGGCAGCAAACCTCGGAGATTAGCAAGGACGCTAGAGGAGAAAGTCATCCTTGACCCTGACAATCCCCATGTTGAAGCCCTCTCCCAGGCCTGTGGACTCGGATAGAGTTGTGGGACTGGGCACATTTCTGCCTTAATTAACAACACTAAATAGACCAATTCAGGCCAGGGCTGGGATGGGGAGCTGACACCTGGATGTACCTGTTATTTAACACTTAATATTGAAAATACACAGAGCTTAAACATGAGTATTGATTTTTTTTGACCCAGTTTGGCAAGAGTGGATGTGTGCTTGTTAGTCTGAGCCCTGGCCAAAATCCAGCTTAGCTAGTCTTTACATTCTCACTGGATGGGTTTCCCCCATAGCTTCAGGTGAGAAAAGTACAGCTGTGCTTACAGCGTAGATGTAGCTGTATCAGTGGGTGGCCGAAGAGAGCTCTCTACTCTCACTTAGTTTTCAGACTCGGTGGGTGACGGCGCAAGAGTGTCTTGGGGACACACACAAGCCCTGGGACATCTGAAATGGGTGTTTTTATGTCCCAAAGTGCTGATTTAGAGTCAGAGGGCCCCCATTTATAAACTCAAATGACAAAGCACTTTGCAGTCCTGCAAAATTAACAATACTAGGCAAAGACCAGGCAATAATACTACAACCTCTCTCTGCTATAACCATGCGCAGTGTCAGGACCTAGGGGGTATCCCTTTAAATAATTTGTGAGCCCTTGAGTGGTGTTCACGGTCTTCTGTTGCAGAAGCTTTTAAAACACTGGCATGTAGCTACAGCTAGATCTTGTGTGTTTGCACACTGCCAGTAAGCAAATGTAGGTAGGCCCCCCCTGCCAGTGTGTCTTCCTCAGACCCGCTCATGGTCACCTCACTGTTCTCCTCACCTTGATCATCTCACCCTCACCGACACCCTCCATGTTGGAGGGCCCAGTAAAGTCTCCTTCTTCCGATTGCTGCTGCAAGGTCAGGGACTTCTTCTGCCCTTTATTTCTCTCTCTGTCCTGGAGGCACAGAGCAAGGCACAAGGTAGAACAGATGCCACGTGTCAGACAGGTCACGGATGCAAGCGTTAGGTGGGACAGGATAGGGGTTCAAGGAAAGGTTGTGTCCATGCAGCACCTCTTCTGCCATTTAGTGGTCAGGGGAAAAATCCTTGCCCACATAAGATTCCCAGCACCAAGCTGGGGTCTGCAGGCTATGAGTCAGGGGACAGGATTTGAGCCTGTGTTTGTATATATGAATTCCCTCCTATCCAGTTGCATAGACAGTCTCTTACTGGTGCTGCCCTGTCTCTGCACCTGGCATTGCTGGAACAAGCCACCACCTGTTTGGCACCATCACGGGGGTAGAAAGGGCACCCGCTGACAGTCTGAGGGGGCTACCCAGTGTGTCCTGCAACTGCTGGAACAGTTCAGCTGAGCTGGATGCAGAACCAGGGAAATAAAAGACCAGAGAGACCTAACTGGTTACTGGATCCAATGCAGGATTGTTTTGTCCCAGTGCTCCCCAGAAAGACTGCCATTGACTTCAGCTCTTATTCCACAGACAGGAAGCTGGTATCCCTGAAGTGGGATCAGAACCACCAACCTTTTAGCTAACCGCCCAAGGCTGTCCTGCCTGGTAATGTGCCAGGGGACTTTCTGCTAAGGCATGTGGAAGCTCACTGTTGCCACAGGGGCACAGCAGCCAGGTGTCCTGAGCTGTGTGGCTAGCCATTTCCAAGTGGCAGCCTTGGACTGGGCATTGGCTCATTGTATGACCCTGGATGAGTCGCATGAAGCCCTTGCCTTTCTCTTTCTCCCCATGGCAGACCAGGCAGTGACACGCACCAGCTGTGAGGAAGGGGGATGCTGAGGTTTAATTAGCTAATGCCTATGCAGCTTTTTTGACTGTAAAGTGCTGCTCGCCTGCCAGGCATCTGTAATAGGTTTTTCTGGAGTCTGCAGTTTCTAGTCCTCTCCAATTTGAGCAGAGCCACCTGTCTGCACCACACATCCCCCTCCCCAAGGGAGCTGCAAAATAAAGAGGCAGCAATAGAGGAAGTCCACTGGCACTGGGGATACTTTGGGGTGTCTGCTTAGTGCAGGGGGCTAACCCGGGTATTCAGTGTAAGGGAAGGACATTTTGGAAGACAGATGAGATGGGCTTCTTTTGCTCCCCCAGAGGCATCATGGGTAAAGAGTGAAAAGTGATGCAGGGAGATCATGCCTTCCCCTTTCCCTCTGAGGGTGATGTATTGCCCGAGAAGCAACTACATCAATACTCAGCAGAAACACCAAGGAAGAAATGGCTGGGGAGCCTGAACTGTCTACTCACTCTCTGCCCAGTGGAGGAAGCCTGGCTCCTGTGATATCAATGGGAGCTTTGCCAAAATTTCACCTCTGCTGTCTCTGTGGGTTGAAGAAGTGTAAAGGGGGCTGCTGGCAGACACAAATAAGCAGGTTTGGCACCCGGGGCAAAACCCTGCAGGGGAGAAGGAGGCCGTGACCTGAGCTAAACCCTGCTGTGTGGGGGGAAGGAGGTGAGAATGAGGGGTCAGGGTTACCTGCCCTGGGGACTCAGTGTCACTGGCTGCTGCTGGCATGGAGCGGTTTGCTCGGCTTTAGCTCTTACTGCTGCTACTACAGACACAGAGTCGCTGCACCCAGCTGCTGCTGCCGGAGACACACTGTGGGGCTACTGCTGCACCAGGGACCCTTTGGGGAGCCGCCATTCAGGTGCCCCCTCTAAGTCAGTGTCCAAGACTAGTACCCTGCTTGCCCACCATAAGCTATACTACTGGGCATTTATTTGTCTATGCTGGGTGCCAAGGACAGTGACCAGTCTCCAGGGATGCCAGCCTGGCACTCTGCAGAAGCATTCATCTCACATCAAAAGGAAAACATTTTCTTTTGCGCACTGCCCAGAGCTGACACCCATTTGGGGGATGATTAATTATTTGCTAGAACAAAGAGACCCAGCAGAATTGTGATGGGAGCTTGCAGCCTTCCGGTAACAACCAGGACCAGCAGCAATTCTAAGAAGAAAAGTAAAAAACATGTCCATAAATTAATATAAACTGGCCTTTCATTTCCATTATGCTGGTCTGTGTTAAAATGATCCTCAGGACTTTCTTTTTAGCCCTGAGTCTGGGAGCCTTTTACCTCGTATCCTCTGCAGCACCAGTGAGTCAAGTGCATCGCAGACTTTGAGGATGCGCTCAGGCTATGTGTGCTGGGACCACAGCGGAGCCATTTAGAGGAACCCAGGCTGGTTCTAAACAAGCTGGTCTGTCTACACAACACAAAGCAGGGCCATGTGGGGATACTAGCTTGGGTCCTGGAAACAGCACAGCCTAATTAGTCTGAAGAACTTTGCTGAAAAACTGGGCTAATGAACTCTGGCACAGACCACACTAAGGCAACTATGCCACGTCTGGTTTCAAAACTAGCCAGGAGGAGCAAGATGTGGTATTGCTACACAATGCTGTGTCATGCCAAATACACACACCCTCCCCGACCACCTCCCAGCACTGAGATAGGACGTGTCATGAGACAGGGATTTTATTCTGGTGATGATTCTACTGGACGTGGACTTGATAATTGAGCAGTCCCTTTGACTCCATGGGAGTTTTACTGCAGTGAGAACAGCTGCAGCCTGATTTTCGTAGCTCCTTCTTCCATTTGAATCCCTAATTCAGAAAAGCTTCACTGTTCAGGAGAGGATTTGGCAGCATACTCTGCTTTGAAATGCCCAGAGAGGATGGTGTAGGCACCTACCCTGGAGACCTTCAAAAGGAGACTGGATGCACACCTTGCTGAGGTTATTTGACCCCAGCAGTCTTTCCTGCCCAGAGCAGGGGGGCTGGACCCAATGATCTCCCAAGGTCCCTTCCAGCCCTAAACGTCTGTGAATCTGTGAGCACATGTTTCAAGTTAAGTGCTAGTTTAAGTGCCTTCTTAAACAGGGAGGGTGATAAGGTTTGCATTTACGTGCTTTTCTAAACCAGGATACGAGTTCCTGGGCCCTGAGCACCTCTGAAAATCCAGCCACTCAGAACTGTCTAAGCAGGTGCTTCACAGTTTGGCTCAGAGCCTATCCACATTGACAGCAATGGAAATCCTTACTCTTGTCTCCTTTTATTTGAACACAAGCCCTTCACTTTAGAAATTCGGTCAGCTCAAGGCATAGGAGAAGTGGGCTTGCTGCTCCCAGCCTGGCCAAAGCGACTGGCCATCAATGTTGTAAAACTGTCTCTCAGATGCTCTCAGTCTCTGCTCAGAAGGAAGAGGAGACTAGGAGAGCATGGGCCTCCCGGGCCCTGGAGCGCTGCGTGTGGGAAGTTGCACTGAGAGCACTCCCTGTCCCCTTTAATTAACTCTTAAGGGTGCTGGCCATGGCAGCATGTTTCTCAGGGGTTACCTGCATCCTCTGCATGTCGCTGTGAGTGAAAATGGGTAAGAAGCCTTCGGTCTGCTCGGCCAGCATGGCCATCCCATACACCACCAGAAGAGTCACCACAGCCCTCCTCGAAACCATCCTTGGAGCTTGAGAAAGTCTGAAAGACAGAGGAGAGGGCAGGTCATGATAAGCTAGTGGGGAAGGCTGCCTGCAGCCTATAAAGCCAGTGCAGAATAGTTTAAAAATATGAGCTACAAAGATGCCCTCACTGAATAGAATAACCCAAAACCCAGGACTTTAGCATGGACTGCCCAGGAGGAGTTTGGGTCTTATAAATACATTTCTTGATCTCTGAGCAGCCTTCCACTCCATGTCTATTCTTCCAGTGGTTTCTGCCACTGACAGTAGCTGTCAAGTGATAATCTCACATCTCCTTGAAGATCTGACCTGGAGCCAGTGTTAGCCAAGGGCTTGATCCTATGAACTGATGCACAGCTCCTCTCCTGAAAGATGCAAGGTCTCCCACTTTCTTGCAGAAGTCAACCCACATGACCATGTGGTCCATTCGCAGCCAACCATCTGGTGAGACAGGTGGGGATGCTTACCTGGTGTGGGAGAGAAGTGCTCTCTGCAGGTATGTGGGTTTGCATGTTGGAGCCAGGAGCCTTTGTGACTAGACAGGTCCCTGGAAGGAGCATTTTGCCCAAAGTGTCAGAACTCTGTATTTCTGAACAAAGATTAAAGCTGAGATTTTCAAAAGAGGGCAGTGATTTTGGGTGGGTACCTGCTCAGAGATTCCTGAAAAAGTTTCAGTTTTCAGAGGGTTGGTGCATCTGAATGTCATGTCCCTTTAAAGACAGATAAGGATCTTTGGGTAAATCTGATATCTCTTATTAGACCAACGCATGGAAGAAAGTTTCCAACTATTTGAGTTGGACTAAGAAAAGATATCAGATTTAACCAAAGAACCTTGTCTACCCATGTTCTTAGACCAACACAGCTACAGCCTATGTCCCTTTAAAGAATGATGTCACTTCCAGCCAGGCTCTGGTTTCCAACAGATGAATGCTGAGAGGGGCGTCTGCTCTGGAGAAGAAATCCTATCTATGCAAGGTAAAGGGCAAGACAGGCCTGCCTAGAAATCCTCTAACAGACTAGCTAAGATGGCTCCAGCTGGCCAGTTCTTAGGTATTATCAGCTCCATCTTATTTCCCCTTTAAATTATGAACACTTGCATGATTTCTGAAACCCTGGATTTGACTATCTGCATAACAAATAATTGATTGTGAAATCATGGCGCATCTTTGTATAATACATCATAGATTATATAGAGCTTTTCACCTACAAATCTCAAAGCACTTTATAGCACTATCCACACTTTACAGAGGGGGGAACTGAATCACGACAGGGTCTCAAGTCAGTGACCAAGCTGCAGCTCAGGATTCCTGCTTTAGGGAGAGATCTTAGTGGTCAGAGCAACAGACCCGTCATGCTCTGACGAGCCGCTCCATGAGCTAAGAATACAACCCAGGGGCTCCAATTCCCCATTCTCTGGCCCAACTCCAAGACTTCCCACCCTCCTTAAGCTGAAAAAAGACCCTCCTCCCTAGCAAATCTTGATCAACTCCCCTTTTCTTAACATGAGACAAATGCCACCGCTCATAAACAGGTTTGTTCAATCTGGAGCAATAGTTCCTATATTAAAAACATGGTGTTGCAGAATTTCAGAGCTTCCCTGAAGTACAAAGCCCACACACATTCAATAGAAACTGCTTCAGTTTCCTGCCTTGAGTCTCCACAGTGAGGAAAGTATAGTGATTTAGCACAAAAGCAGTAGCTTTAATTGTTTTATTAAAATCTTTTTTATATTTTCCTTCAATAAGCTTGGGGGGAGGGAAAAGGAAGCAAGGCAGTCATGTCCCACGCTCTAATTCTATAAGGATTTATAGTCTTCTCCCATTGGTGCATTGGGTCTTTTAATAAAGCTCTCAAGGAGCCCAAAACATCTTCTACCACCTCAGGCCATGGGAAAGGGTTTTAAAAACTAGTCTCCACCTTGATTTAACAGCCATTAGCCATCTGAAGGAGGATTTATATAAACATTAAGCACCCTTGTTAAATATTAAACCCGTCTTTTGAAGCGCCTTTAACAAGGTACAGGCTTACAACTTAACTACTTCCTTCATTTTCCTCCTGATCCTTAATTATTTTTTTAAAAGCTCTGGTTTCAGGCATTATTAAAGGGACATCAGGTCAAATTTGCACCCCCGCAAATGAGATTTCAGACAAATATCAGCTTGTGAACCAAAGACTAGTAGAAACAAATTAATATTCCTCCCATGCCCACAGTTTTTGCCAAACAATCATTTTGGCATTGAGCGCCAAGAAAGGGCCATCTCAAATGCCACCAAATTAATACAGGAGGTGATGTACCAGCTGAGACCTATCGATCCATCTGCACCTTGAGCCTGCTTGCCCCATGCCCTATACTACATGTTGTTGTTCGCACTGGTGCGAATTGCTATGGGATCAGAATGATCAGATCAGATTTCCGATTTCCTGTTGGGGCAAACTGGCATTCGCTCCACAGAAGTCAGTGGGATTGGACTAGATGTTCCCCTGAGGTCCCTTTCAGCCCTGTGTTCCTGTGACTCCTGCTAAATGCAGGAGAAATGAGGTCCCTCCTGTCATAATTGCTTTGGAACAAGGAGCAAAAAAGCCCCAGAGTGGACAAGACCCCTGCGGAGGTTCCTCTCTTATGCCAGGCAATGAATTGCTGGCTTATCAAACCCATGCATTGCACTGGGAATTGTGCCTTAAAATCAGCTGCACCACCTGTCTCCATGAAGCGTAGCATTTACTTGGTGTAATGATCAAAAGGGGATTGCCCAGATCTTTCCTTCTAACAGGAATTACCATGTGTATGCTCTGATATGTGGTGTTATCTCAGTGGGATCATTCTTTTGCTTCATTTCATTTATTCTGTAACTTCAGTAAAGTACTGTCATATAAACCCCCCTGGTCACTGCCTTCATCTCCTATTGACTAGCTCTGCGTGAATCTGTTCTCCCCCAGAGAAAACCCCCCTGCATGTGCCAAATCAGCCAGCTGGTCCATGGAACGTCCTTTAATTTGTAAACAGGACATGTCTTTCATACTTTACAACTTCAGCCCAGTGTCTTCCCAGGCAAAGATACAGCTGGTTTTGGAATTAGCTTCCCAGGTAGTAGAAAGCAAGGGGAATCAGAGTGGCACCTCAGTGCAGCACACAGAGCTGGGTTGTATGCTCCCTGCACCTGATGTTGGCTTGGAGATCAATGTGAAGTGGGTGCAAAGTCTGGAGCATTTTTGATCCCCTTGTCACTGCTGTAAAAAATCTGCCATGCAGTGATGGACCAGGCCCTTCACTTGCTGAACATCAGCTGAGGACCAGAGAGGGGAGTTCAAGAGTCAGCCTAGACAAAACCTGCCTCTGATTCATCCCTTGTGCACTCAAAGTGTAACACTCCAGACATGAGACACTGCATGTCCCTGAAACATCCTCCATTGTCTGACGGGTGCTAACTGGCGATAATGAGAGTGGCGTCAAAGTAATCAATGCTCATGTGGAGAGGGACGAGCGGAAAGCACCTTTCCCCTTGTTTACACATTGATTTTGTTCCTGCCCTCCCCAACCTTAGTAGACTGGAACCATCTCTCCTATTTAAAAGTTTCTTTGAAATCAGCTAACTCTTGGAGCATCAATTCTGCAGCTGGCAGCTGGACTGGACCGGCCCTTCTGATCAGGGAGAGGTCAGAGGGAGGGAGACCTGACACAAAAATTGGAGATGAAATTAGGACAAAGGAAGGAAGAATGAAGAAAAGAGGAGAGAGACTGGAGCAGAGGAGAGCCTTGGGCATGTATGAAATGGGGGTCCTAAACTGAAGCGGTGGGTTTTTAAAAACACTGCTTCAATTTAGGGCGAAGTAAAGCCCCATGTCATGTACACCCGTGTCTTAGCTGCCTTTCCAGCAGTGGGGAGAGGAGGGTGAGCTGCTGGTGGGTACAGCGGTTCCTGGGCTGGGTGGGGGGTAAGGGGGGTGGATGCTTCCCTCCGTGCCCCACTCCTATGTCCGGGGTGGGGGGAAGAAAAGATCAGGCTTGCCACTTTTTTTTTTTTCCCCCTTTGGTGGAGCCTGCCTTCCCGGGCTGCTGCCAAGTTGCCTGCACAGCCCCTGAGCTGCATGGAGCCCAGTACTTTGCTCCACGGCTGTAGGACAGTAAACTAAAACCCCTCAGGGGTGTTTTAGTTTGTTCCCCACCAAGTCATTTAAGGTGCATTACACCACCAAATGTACTACACCAGCTCAAATTAATGTGCAATACACCACTGACGTGTGCAAACACCAATACCATTGAAGTGATGCAAAAGCATTTAACCTGCTTTAAAGTGTCGTGCACACATGCCCCTCATTTAGTCTACACACGCCCTTTGATATCAGGGTGAAAGCAAGCAGGAGATTTATATGCTATCAGAGCCTATTCAGAGCCACCAAAGCCTGGAGCAAACATCTTGTGTACGGGGGTGAATTTCACTCATCCGTGAACCTAAACTCAGCCTCCTCTGTGAAGGAGGTAACACAACAGGCATTACATCCCTGTTTATCAAATGGGGAAGCTGAGGACAAAGATCCTCGCGGCAGCCCTGCTAGGTGTGGAACCCAGGAGCCCTGAGAAACAAGACTTCCTCGGAAGATAAGCAGCTCCTCTGATTAGCTCACTGCATAGGTTTCAAGGTGCATGTGGGGAAATAAAGACTGATCAGGACAGCTGGTGAGAGAAAGTTCATTGGGACCGCATTCCTCCAGGATCTGCAGTCCCATCCATATCAACGTGTGGGTTTCACCGGGATTTCATTTCTGACTAACACCTGCCCCACCTAAAAAATGTTCTGACAAAGGGCAAAGGTCCTGTGCCAACATTTCCATTTTTTGTTCTACTCTGACATTGTGTACGAGATCCAGTCACAGCCAAATGGTTTGATCAACCCGATTTCATCTCTTCAATCTCCTCCCTCGTGAGGTCTGAATTTTTTGTTTTTTCCTCCCGCTCAGAGCCTGCAACTTCCCTTCAGCTGACCCGATCCCATCCCATCCCACCGTTGAGCTCTGCTCTTTCGTACCGCAGACACCACAAACAGAAACCGAGTACACAGGACACTCACCTCGTGCGTGTAGCCGGGTAGGACTCTGATCTTCTGGTCTCTCCTGTGAGCTCCTGCTTGGTTTCTTACCCCTTATATACTTGCCAGAAGCACCGGTAGGATATCACCACCCATCATTGGTGCCCATGGCTCCCAGAGAGGGGGTGGGCAGATAGCTGAAGTGCATGGAGACAGTTTTGTCACACAGGCAGCAGGTGCTTCTGCGAGGAATTTGCTTTGAGAGTTCCCAGTCTCCAGGGAAGGGCACCCCACAAGTGGTGGCCCTCAGGATGATTCAGCTGGGCTGGGTCCACCCTGCTTTAAGGCAGTCATGCACCATGAATCTAGGGTCGTGCTGGACAAAGCATCCAAGCTGCCTGCCCCTCACACCCCTTCTTTGTTCCATTTCTCACTGCTTGGGCAGTTCTCCAAGGCTGGTTTCATGTCCACCTTTTGCTTCAAGTCCCCTGCCCCCTGAGCCAGATCTGGATGTGGCTGAGGCAGGGATTAATGCA